GCGCCACCATGCCCAGCTAATTTTTTGTAGTTTTAGTAGAGACGGGGTTTCACCGTGTTGACCAGGATGGTCTCGATCTCTTGACCTCGTGATCCACCCGCCTTGGCCTCCCAAAGTGCTGGGATTACAGGCGTGAGCCACCGCACCCGGCTTTACTAATTTTATTATATACCCTAAAAATTACTTGTTAAAAATAATTCCTTATGTCAACTTGTTTACCTTTGTACACTAAAATCATAAATGTGAACTTTACAGTCGTTTGCATTACACTTAAATGGGATCCATGTTTTGCATTATTTGATCGATATACAAGTGAAGATTCTGCTGAATTCCTTTTGCATATGCGGAATTTAGATACATTTCAAAACAACACAAATTCTCAATTTTTAGATTCTGACTTAATGGAGTTTTATTCTAATAAGACACCTGGGGTCCTTTGTATAGCATCACAGTCATAGAATGATATTAAAGAATACTGAGTTCCTTAGCCTGGGTGCAGTGGCTCATGCCTGTAATCCCAGCACTTTGGGAGGCCGAGGAGGAAGGAACACCTGAGTTCAGGGGTTCAAGACCAGCCTGGCCAACATGGTGAAACTCTGTCTCTACTGAAAATACAAAAACCTTAGCTGAGTGTGGTGTGTGCACCTGTAATCCCAGCTACTCAGGAGGCTGAGGCAGGAGAATTGCTTGAACCTGGGAAGCGGAGGTTGCAGTGAGCCAAGATTGCACCACTGCATTCCAGCCTGGGTGACAAAGCAAGACTTTGTCTCCCCCAACCCCCCAAAAAAACCTCTCTTACTGCATGTAAATAGGAATATGTAATAGACTAGAAAAATATTTACAAAATAGAAAATAACTATATTATCAGTGTCTCTGAAGAAGTTTTCAGAAGCCAACTGTTTTCTGGGTGAAACGCTTGTTCTCTGCTCCCCCTGGTGGTGCTGCATAGGCCATCTTTGTAACAGGTACCTTTGAGCTCACTTTTCAAAACCTTCCCTTTATCAGAAGTGGCAAATGGAGCTGAAAGCATAGTTATCTCATACAATCATTCTGACAATCCTTTGTGATAGGTAGTATTACCTCCATTATATAAATAGGGAAAAGAGTTTGAAAGAGGTCAGGCCAGATTTTTTTGAACTTGCACCATCAGTAGCTAAGTGCCTTTCACAGACTCTACATCACTTTAAAGACCAGATAAATAATTAGAAAATGAAAAGACAGATTTCAATCCAAAGCCAGGTTCTGTCTCCTCCACCATGATTTTTTAAAAATATATTTTTAAACTCATGACTCCCTCAGTCAATCTACCATGCTTCTTTTAAACTCAACCACTATCACAGAAAAGGTGAATTACCATTTCTATCCAGATTACTCAAGCCAAGTCACTATAGCCAGAATGAAGCTTTGTTTACATTTGCTACTGCCGATTTCATCTGGGTCATGCATGAAGTGTTGTCTTTGCCTCTCTGTGGGAAGACAGGAAAGTCAGAGTCAAGAGGAGTGGGAGGATACCAAAGATTACAGATCTCTTCTTCCACTTCAGCTCCGTGGTGGCACTGCCTCCATCAGATGTTGCTGGAGGTGGGGGGTTTACTTCAAAGCAGCAGGAAAGCCTTGCGTCTAAGAGTACAGGCTCTAGAGTTCAAAGCCTGGCTCTGCTACTTTCTAGTCATGCAGTCTTTTTTTTTCTTTTTCTTTTGAGATAAGGTCTTGCTCTGCCACCCAGGCTGGAATGCAGTGGTGGGATCTCAGCTCACTTGCAGCCTTGACCTCCTGGACACAAGCAATCCTCCTGCCTCAGGTGCCAAGTAGCTGGGGCCACAGGAAAGTGCCACCATGCCCAGCCAAATTAAAAAAAAAAATTTTGTCGAGATAGGGTGTGCCATGTTTCCCAGGCTGGTCTCAAGGTCTCAAACTCCTGAGCTCAAGCAACTGTCCCGCCTCAACCTCCCAAAGTGCTCAAAGTGCTGGTATTACAGGCATGAGCCACTGCTCTTGGTCAAGTCATGCAGTTTTTTTTTTTTTTTTTAAGACAGAGTCTCAGTGTGTCACCCAGGCTGGAGTGCAGGCATGATCTCGGCTCACTGCAACCTCCTCTTACCAGGTTCAAGTGATTCTCGTGACTCAGCCTCCCTAATAGCTGGGATTACAGGTGCCACCACCACGCCTGGCTAATTTTTGTATTTTTAGTAGAGATGGGGTTTCACCATGTTGGCCAGGCCGATCTCGAGCTTCTGACCTCAGGTGATCTGCCTGCCTCAGCCTCCCAATAGTGCTGGGATTACAGGCATGAGCCACTGCACCCAGCCTAGTCATGCAATGTTGAGCAAGTTTCTTATCTTCTCTGCCCCTCATTATTCCCATATATAACATGGGGATAGGATAAGCACTTACCTCATATAGTCGTTGGGGAAAGGGGACCCAGTGATGTAAGAAGTTAACTAGGAGCCCGGAAGAGAGTAATTGCAGCAGGGATAGTAGAGCAAAGGAATCCACTTGAACCTCACAGCCTTGAGGGTGCTTTTCAGCCCCTTTAACTAAGGTATACACAGACTGTGAGGTACCTAAGGGAATCAGGCTGATGAGGCAAGGAGAATATGTGCCACACAGTGGTCCCTGTTTCAGGCAATGATCAATGATGGATGGCATACGTGATGTTGGTCCCATAAGGTTATCATGCAGCTGACAAATTTCTGTCACCTAGTGATATATATTACAATCACCTGTAGGAGTCACCACAGTAACATGCTTTATAGGTTTGTAGCCTGGACGCAATAGGCTACACCATATAGCCTAGATGTGTAGTAGGCTGTACCACCTAGGTTTGTGTAATTACAATCTGTGATGTTCGTATAATGATGAAATCGTTTAACGATGCATTTCTCATTATGTATCCCTGTCATTAAGTGACACGTGACTATATTTATCTCTTGAGAGATGGTTCCAGGTCAAAGCTTCAGATTTTGTCTCTGGAGACAAAACGGCCTCTTGGAGAACATTTACAAACATGCTTCCACCTCATTTACCTCTCTCTCCCTTCTGAATTCCCTAGCAGTCTAGCTTAGACCAGGTTGGAATTTATAAAGATTTTAGTAAAGGCTCAGAGATGGCAAGAAGAAAATAAATCTCAGCTGGGAGTGGTGGCAGAAGCCTGTATTCAACTACCTGAGAGACTGAGGCATGAAGGTCACTTGAGCCGGGGCTTTGAGGCTGTAATGCCCTATGATCGCACCTGGGAATAGCCACTGCACGGCAGCCTGGACAATACAGGGAGACCCCCATCTCTGTAAAAAGAAAGAATATCAGCATCTCAGAGAAAAGCCACCTACTATATAATCTTGATTACGAAATATAACCAGCTTTTCAAAATTGGTTTGAAACCTGTCTTTTGATTTTCTAAATATCTGTTGAGTCCCTAAAGTGATGTAGAGTCTGTGAGAGGCACTTAGTTACTGACGGTGTAAGTTCAAAAAAATCCGGCTTGACCTCTTTCAACTCTATTTCGCTATTTATATAATGGAGATGCTACCAATCACAAAGGATTGTTATGAAGACTATATGAGATAACAAATATTCTTTCAGTTCCATTTGCCACTTCTGATAAAGGGAAGGTTTTGAAAAGTGAGCTCAAAGGTACCTGTTACCAAGACAGCCTATGTAGCACCATCAGGGGGAGCAGAGAACAAGAGTTTCACCCAGAAAACAGTTGGCTTCTGAAAACTTCTTCAGAGACACTGGTAATATAATTCCTTTCTATTTTCTAAACACTTTTCTAGTCTATTGCATACTCCTATTTACATGAAATAAGAGGGATTGGTATATCGGCTATCAACTGCTGCAATAATGTATAACAAACTGCCACAAACACAGCAGCAATAAACGTTTATTTCTCACTGTCAGTGGGTCCAGCTGGTCTAGGTTGAGCTTAGCTGGGATTGGGCATGTGTTTGCAGCTCAGCTGGCTCACTCCTATGTCTTTGCATGAGCTCTTCTCTACATGTCTCTAGGTCCTCTTTCTGCCATCAAAAGGCCAGCCTGGGTATGTCCTTATGGTGATGGCAGATGACAAGAGCACCTAAGCCCAATCTCTCCAGCATCTTTCAATCCTCTGCTTATATCGGGCTCACTGATGTCAGTTGCCTCAAAGCAAGCCACATGGACAGACCAGAGCCAGAACGGGAGGATATTCAAAGCTACATGGTAAAGGCCAAGGACATAGGACAGGGAAATGACCTGGGCATTATTGCAATCCACTTCAAAATGTAATGAAGGCTCTCTCCCTGCTGCTGGAACCGGTTCGTGTGAGGAGAGGAAGATGGTAGCATCTTTCCAAACAACAAAGGCCAAGAGCCTTGGCCGTCTTCATCCTTCTCTAGCATTTGACGCTGTTGACCTTGTCCTGAAAATGTCTCTCCTCTCGGTTTTCCAATTTCAAGAATTTCTTAGTCTTCTATCAATATTTCTGGCTGCCCTTTCCTCTATAAATTATTTTTTTCTGCCAATTCCCTGAACGCTGACATTCCCTTCATACCTACCACCTCACTGCCCTCTTTCTTACTCCTTTCACCTGCTGCCAAGGCCTCAGCTACCCTTGTATGTAGGCTAGAACTTGGAGCCCTCCCAACTCCCATGAAAGTCAGACCTACATTTCTAGCGATTTGTTGGTATCTTTATGGACTGTCTCCCAGGTCCCTCAAATTCAGTTCAGAGCTCCCAGTTGCCAACAGCAATCCACACCTACTTCCTAAACTCTATTTCAGAGGCATTTGCTACATTGTATATACTTGCCTGTTTGCACTTCTATTTCTCTACCCTTTAACTATAAAATGGAAGGCAAGGATGTGCCATGATTATTTTTTGCATCTACATTGATTTTTATAATGTCAAGTTCATGCAGATAAATTTTGAAACATTAGCTATTACTATGATTATTTGTCTTTAATGGTGACCAACTTTAGTAACAGAGGCGGGCAGGGAAATCTTAGATATATGTTCAAGTAAGTGGATTATTGGTGACTCATTAATTACCTAGCCCAGGGTCTCAGCAAACTTTTTATTCAAGGGACAAATTGTAAACATTTTAGGCTTTGCAGAACATAAGATTTCTGTCTCAACGACTCAACTCTGTGTGTGTAGCATGAAAGCAGTCATAGACAATTATGGAAATGAATGGGCATAGTCTGTTCCAATAAAATTTCATTTTTGGACACTGAAATCTGAATTTCACATACTTTCCATGCATCCTGAAGTCATCTTTTAAAATTTTTCTTTCAACCATTTAAAAATGAGAAAACCATTTTTAGGCTGCACAAAACCAAGTATTTATTTTCCTGGAAGGGCTGACAGAACAGCATACAGATAGCAAAGACAAATCCTTGGCTTTGGCATTCCAAGTCTGAGGGTTGGTATAAGACAGAAAATTGGAAGAATGTTTGAGTAGTCACAAATAAGTTTCCCAGTCACCACCTCATTTCCCTCCTCTACCAAACACTGGATGAAAATTATTTGGGCAGAAAGAGGGGGAGATTGCAGGGTAGGGTAAAGTGAGAAACCAAGAATTTAGACACTGGTGGGTTACCGAGGACCCTCTCATCCTGCACCATGTCCCAGATTGATGGTTGGGGAAAGTAGAAATTATAGAACTCTAACTAGGTTGGAGATTCTTCTTCCCTCCACCCAAGGATGCTCCCAGGAACTTATATTTAGCCTAAGAAAAGAGAGGTCTCAAACTGATGAACATGAAGTTTCAATGACCCCCAACTTTCAGAATTGAGGCTCTAAGCAGAATGAACTTATTTCAAAATTTCTTGCACTCTTGAAATTATATTCTTTACAGAGGCACTCAGTTAAGTCCAGCTCTTTCAACATTCATTTTAGCCTCTGAAGATGTCATCCTGAGGCATCAGCTTGTACCTGCAGAACCATCAGCAGTCACCTGGTCTGCCTTATGGTTTAAAGAGCTGATAACAGTTCCATAAGATTCTTCTTACTATTTCCGAATTCTGACTATAGGGTATTTCTTTCCTTCAAGAGGACTTATCTATAAATGTAATGGTAAGAAACATGTTGGAGAATAACAGCTTCCTTACAAGAGACACTAATATGAAGCAGAGTACATTTGAAAGTCAAATCTTTGGCACAGTAAGTAAAATTTATCTAGATCCCAGGAGACCTCAGACACCCGCCAGTTATATTAACATTGCAGAAAATTTCCAGGGCCATGAATAGAGACATGGCTTATGGAAACTCTGAATGAATGGTATCTTTCATTCAGTTTGAAAGCTATCATTCAGAGTTTCCATAAGCCATGTCTCAATAGACAAAACTATTCTAGGGCAGATGACATCCCCCAAACAAATATTTTCAGTGCATTGCAAGTTTTAAAGATTGATGTTAAGATTGGGTTTTAAATGGAAGTATACCTGAATGAGTTTGAAAGCTTGTTCTTTTTTTTTTTTTTTTAATCTCACTCGTTCTAACTTTCATGAGTACCTGATAACTGCCTTCACCTAGTTGTTGCATAAATGGGTTTCTAGACTATTGACATATTTTATGTCTGCCTTTCAATCATGCTTCAGTTTTTCCAGTAAATTACTTACTAGAACATGCTAAAGATGCTGTACAAATGCCTTGGTTTCTTTCTGCCAACTGAAACAGCTTGTTTGGGGCTCATTTTTCATTATGTTTTATAGCAGGGTACAAAATCTTTTTTCTCCAGGGAAAAAAGATTTTTGTGTTTATTCCTCAGCTATTTTATCTTCCATTGAATTTCTCAGTTCAACATTCTTAATAGTTTAATTTTTCTCTGATACATACACACATATATTATTGGGCCTTTTAGAATCTGCAAAAACCTGCAATGAGGACAAATTTACAGCTTAGCTTATAGGTATTTTTTTCTAAAAGTCATTAGCGAGTAAAATTATTTCATCATTCTGGAAGAATTATTGATCTAAATATCCAGCTGCAGGGTAGAGGGGAATTCAAACAGTTTCTATCAGGTCCCCATTTCCCCACCCCATTAAAAGAATATATTCCAAAATTAAGAATATATTCCCAAATTAAGGCTGGCTGTGGTGGCTTACACCTGTAATCCCAATGCTTTGGGAGGCCAAAGTGGAAGGATCACTTGAGCCCAGGAGACTAGCCTGTGCAATATAACGAGACCCTGTCTCTACAAGAAAATTAAATAATTATCCAAGCATGGTAGTACATGCCTGTAGTCCCAGCTACTTGGGAGGCTGATGGAGGATCGCTTGAGCCCAGGAGGAGGTGAAGGTTGCAGTGAGCTGTGATCAAGCCACTGCACTCAAGCCTGGGCAACAGAGTGGGACCCTATCTAAAATAGATATATATTGTATATTTATATTTTTATATATTTATGTGTGTGTGTGTATATGTATACACACATAAATATACACACACACACAAATATATATAATATTACATTTGGACTTTCTTGAGATTTTACAGAGTTGTCAAACATAAAGCAATGTGGACTGGGCATGGTGGCTCATGCCTGTAATCCCAGCACTTTGGGAGTCCGAGGCAGGCGGATCGCTTGAAGTCAAAAATTCAAGACCAGCATGGCCAACATGGTGAAACCCATCTTTCCTAAAAATACAAAAAATTAGCCAGGTGTGGTGGTACATGCCTGTAATCCCAGCTGGTCAGGAGGGTAAGGCAGGAGAATCACTTGAACCTTGGGAGGTGGAGGTTGCAGTGAGCCGAGATGGCACCATTGCACTCCAGCGTGGGGGACAAAGTGAGACTTTGTCTCCAAAAAAACAGTCTGTATTTCACTTCTAATGTTTGAGACAGTATTTGATTATTTACAGCCATGTTTTACATAAAGTATACTTTGTTTTCCTGGGGTCTAGAAGAGAGCTTGGAACATAATAGGTGCTCCATACATTTCTGCTAAATAAAATAATTGTTTTTAAAGCACACCATATTTTATTATTGCTATCCATCAATTTTAGGTTAAAGAATTTGACACTAATTTTACATATGTGCAGCAGTCAGAATTCTACTTGGAGCCAAACATTAAGTACGTATTTCAAGTGAGATGTCAAGAAACAGGCAAAAGATACTGGCAGTCTTGGAGTTCTCCGGTTTTCCATAAAACACCTGAAACAGGTGAGTGTATTTATATATTTTATTCTCTTGGTCTTTTCTTTATATATCTTTTCTTCTGAGCACAGTGGCTCGCACCTATAATCCCAACACTTTGGGAGGCCAAGGCAAGAAGATTGCTTTAGCCCAGGAGTTTGAGATCAGCCTAGGCTAGTGAGACCCTAGTCTATACAAAAACAATAATAATAATAATAATAATTAGCCTGGGTGGAATGCAGGCTAATTATTTATGCATTTGTAGTCCTAGCTCCTTGGGAAGCTGAGAATCACTTGAGCCCAGGAGTTTGATGCTGCAGTGAGCTATGATCATCCCACTGCTCTCTAGCCTGGAGGACAGAGCAAGACCCTGTCTCCTAAGAAATTTAAAACAGCCAGGTGTGGTGGCTCACACCTGTAATCCCAGGACTTTGGGGCGCCTAGGCAGACAGATCACCTTAGGTCGGGAGTTTGAGACCTCCTCGGCTGACATGGTGAAACTCTGTCTCTACTAAAAATACAAAAATTAGCTGGGTGTAGTGGTAGGTGCCTGTAATTCCAGCTACTCTGGAGGCTGAGGCAGGAGAATCGCCGGAACCTGAGAAGCAGAGGTTGCAGTGAACTGAGATTGCACCACTACACTCCAGCCTGGGCAAGAGAGCGAGACTTGGTCTCAAAATAAATAATAAGTTTAAACCAAATACAAAATAAAGCTACAGTTTTTTTTTTCTCTTTAATGTTCACCAAAATTGACATAACTATTCTAGGGCAGGTGATGACATTTAAATTGTCATTTTGCTTTGATTTTCTTAAGGTTTGCTATAATTTACATAGTGGTTCTCAAACATTCCTGGGCATAAAAACCACCTGAGAGGCTGGGTGTTGTGGCTTACACCTGTAATCCCAGAACTTTGGGAGGCCAAGGCAGGAAGGTTGCTTGAGCCCAGGAGCTTGAAACCAGACTGGGCAAGATAGGGAGACCCCATCTCTACAAAAAATGCAATGTAAATTATTAGACAGGCATGGTGACCCATGCCCATAGTCCCAGCTACTTGGGGACTGCAAGAAGAATTATTGATCTAAACAGGCTTCAGTCATAGCTCACTGAAGCCTCTAACTCCTGGGCTCAAGCAATCCCCCTGCCTCAGCCTCCCAAGTGGCTGAGACTACAGATGCGCTCCACCATGCTAGCTGAGGCAGGAGGATCACTTGAACCTGGGAGGTTGAGACTGCAGTAAACCATGTTCATGCCACTGAACTCCAGCCTGGGTGACATCCTGGGCAATTGTGAGGCATACAATAAGCTAAGAACTTGTTTTGAAAAATATCTGGATGTGGTGGCTCAAACCTGTAATCTCAACACTTTGGGAGGTGGAGGCGGTTGGATCACTTGAGCTCATGAGTTCAAGACCAGCCTGGCCAACATGGTGAAATCCCATCTCTATTGAAAATACGAAAATTAGCTAGGCATGGTGGCACATGCCTATAATCCCAGCTATTCAGGAGGCTGAGGCAGGAGAATGGCTTGAACCCCGAAGACGGAGGTTGCAGTGAACTGAGATCTCGCCACTGTGCTCCAGCCTAGACAAGTAAGACCCCATCTCTGAAAATATTTTTAAGAATTACGTTACATTCTTTAGACCACTATAATAAAATATATTCCCCTAAAAGAGACACAAATCAAATCATATTAATAAATGTTATCTACTATACGCAAAGCAATCAGAAAGTTAAAACTCTTAAACACAGAATTAATTAATTCTCATCAATAGGATTTAGCTGATCTATTGTTTATCTTTAGGTATTCTCCTACTTCTAATATTATTAATTTAATATTCATTTACTCATGTCATTCAATAACATCTTAGCCAAATAGACTTCAGTTGAAGCAAATAATAAAATGAATCTATTCTAATTATGATACTCCTAATGGCCCCATTAACCTAAAGATGTCTCCCTACTGTCAGTAGTTCATACTCTAGATTTAACATTTTCTTTTTGGAACTGAAGGACTTTATTATATTCACAGTATGAATAGCACATTATTATAACATTGTGGCATTGCGTTTTATGTTTTCAAAGCACTTTGATATATATTATAAATATTGTGGTTGCTAAATTAGTAGAGGAGCAAAGAGCATGACTAGCTGCAAAGCTCTTTGGTGCCTCTACTGCCCAAATCTTAGAAATACTTCAGCCAGGTGCAGTGGCTCATGCCTGTAATCCCAGCACATTGAGAAATGGAGGCAGGTAGATTGTTTGAGCCTAGGAGTTCAAACCCAGTCTGGGCAATATAGTGAGACTCTGCTTCTATATTTTTTTAAAAAATAGAAATTAAATTTTAAAATATAAAAATAAACAATGTATTAGGGAATCATTTTCTTCTTCTTTTTTCTTTCTACTTTCTTATTGTTTTTTTTTTTTTTTTTTTTTTTTGGTTTGTGTGTGTGTGTGTGTGAGACAGTCTCACTCTTTTGCCCAACCTGGAATGCAGTGGTGTGATCTCGGCTCACTGCAATCTCCACCTCCCAGGTTCAAGAGATTCTCCTGCCTCAGCCTCCTGAGTAGCTGGGATTACAGGTGCCCACCACCACGCCTGGCTGATTTTTGTATTTTTAATAGAAATGAGGTTTCACTATATTGGCCAGGCTGGAGACCTCACGTGATCCACCTGCCTTGCCATCCCAAAGTGCTGGGATTACAGGTGTGAGCCACCGTGCCCAGCCGAGGAATTATTTTCAATACTCAGTATCAGTTCTCTTTTTTAAAAGTTAGTTTTTAATTTAAGGTGTTCTGTCAAATTGATACTGTTAACAATTCTTAGGACTTCAGATGCCATTTTATAATACGTAGTCAGAATTTAGTTGATAACCAAATTATTTTTAATGAAGTCTATAATTGCCTAGCAAGATTATGCAAATTGATAACTACCATTTATCATTTTCAAAGTACTACTATGTATAAGCTTGCTTGCTTGACTTGACATCAACCACATTTGGTAGTGTAATTAGCACTACTTTACAAATGAGGAATCTTGGCATGACTTGCTAAATAGCACATTACTAGTGGGTAATGGCACCTAAACTACAATAAAAGTTTTCTTATTCAAAATATTGAACTTCCTGGCTAGCTCAGTTGGTAGAGTATGAGACTCTTAATCTCTGGCTCAGAATATTGTATATTTTCCCCACCGTCCCGCAGCAATTTCATTCTTTAATTTCAGCAAAGTGGAGGAACAGCTTACCTAAGTATTCTAAGTATAAGACTACAAATGTTCTTCTTTAAAGATAAAAGTCTTGGCTGGGTGCAGTGGCTCACACCTATAATCCCAGCACTTTGGGAGGCCAAGGCAGGCTGATCACCTGAGGTCAGGAGTTCGAGACCACCCTGGCCAACATGGTGAAACCCTATCTCTACTAAAATTACAAAAATTAGCTGAGCATGGCGGTGGGTGCTTGTAGTCCCAGCTACTCAGGAGACTGAGGCAGGAGAATCTCTTGAACTCAAGACGCGGAGGTTGCAGTGAGCCAAGATTGTGCCACTGCACTCCAGCCTGGGCAATAGAGTGACTTCATCTCAAATAATAATTAATTAATTAATTAATTAAAGATAAAGGTCTTAAGCTTCAGTTAGAAAGGAATAGGAACACCATAGCTACCCTTTAACAGTTTAAATTTGAAGTCTGTTTCCTAAGGAGAAAAATCACTTCAGGGACAAAAATACCAGTTAAAATTAAGTATCCCTGAAAACTTGGATTTATTGAAGTTTAATATGTTAGCTAAGAGAAACCACAGACTGTTCTCTTAGTACAAATTCCCTTCTAAGACACATTAAATGAGAAGCAGTAAAAGTGTGTTAGGGAAAGTGTTAATATTAAATCTCTTTGAAAATGTATATTTTGTGTGTATGTAAAAGCAATGTAAGTTATTGTAGTATGAACCTAAAAATACCCACTATTTGCACTTATTTACTTTAATACTAGTTTTTTCCTATGCATTTTTTTTTAATGATTGGGGCTGTAGCGTATATACTATTTTATATCCTGATTTTCTTACTTAATCTACCTTGTTGAAGTTTTAAAAACCTATTTCATGGCTGCACACCATTCTTGTTTATGTGTGTACTGTAATTTATTTAGGCCTTTTCCTACCTAAATAACGTCTAAGTGATTTCCATTTTATCCATTATCAATAAACTTCTTTGCATAGCTTTGTATATAAATGCCCTTTATTTCTTTAGTTCTAAAGAAGTATTATTACATCAAGAGCGAAGCACATTTTAGGATGCTAATGTATGCTGCCGAACTGCTTTTTAGCAAATCTTTAGTACTGATGGCTTTTTTAAAAGGTATCTATGAAAAGACAGTCATTCACAAAATGCTCATTTAGCCTCTACCATGTGGCAGGCATTTTTAGATGCCTGCAGAACCTCAATGAACAAAGGAGACAAAAGTCTCTGCCTTGGAGAAATTTAATTCTAGAGAAGACACAGTAAAAATCAAGCATAATTCTATAAACTACATTGCATCATACATAAAGATGTAAATAAAAGCAGTAAGAATCAGATTTCACAGCCAAACTGTGAATTGCCTCACAATAAAATGACATAGTTTCTGTAATTCTTTATTTAAACAACTTGTTTGATAATGAGGTTTTCTTGGCCAGCCAAACTTTCCCAGCACTCAAAGGTTTATTTATGAAGAAACAGAGCCCAGGCAATAATGCTTCCTCCAAGCAGGAGTTTCCTGAGCGATTCTTTAAAATTCTGACATGTTTATTACTGAATGGATTCATCTCAATATAATGTGTTTGCAAAATTCTGCCCAGCTAAGACCAGAGGCAGATCCTAAAATGGGTATGGCTTGTCCTGCAGCCTCAGCATTCCTATTCTTTTCTATCGCTTTCCCTCTGAATAGGGCCTTGCTTGGCCATTAAAAACCTGGTCTTAAAAACGAATCAAACCAATTCACTTACAATAAAGTTTAAGTGACCTATTCTCTTTTTCTTACTTAGAATATTTAGACTTTA